TATTAGTCAAAGCTATGACTGTATCCATGCTATGGCTACAGCCATAGATTTGAATGCAATTTTTATGGCTACAGCCATAGATTTGGACTAAATCCTAGCACTATGGGTGAAAGACTCCAATTACTATGAAGGAGAGGGAGTAGTTGCATTCAAAGGGAAAGGGATGCAATATACAGCCCCGTTTCAATGGACGCACAGGGTTTGACCCTGGACAGCTCGCAAACACAGACATGTGCAAAGCGAGCATGATACCCCTACATCATACGCCCGTGGGAGAGCGCACAGAGATAGGCTGTAGATTGCTCTACTAACCCGAAGCATCCAGCGAGAACCTTGAATGTGTTCGAGCACATATGCTACTTGTATCAACAGAATAAACACAAGTCGAACTCGCTGATGGCAAAGTAATTACGCAATGGGAGCTAGCGCATCGAGGAATTTCAGTTCAGTTTTTCTGGGTACCAGATGGTGTCTGGATTACATAGCATAAATGCTGGTTACTTACTACAATGCTCTGATGATATAAGTGCATATAAGATGCGATGAAAAGACATAATATGAGATGGTGCCATAAGTATCATAAAGCTTAACATCGATCCACTCGCCAACTCGAAGCGTCGGATCCAAGCTCCCTGGCAGCAGAGACCTCCTACGCGCCCGGGGCTGGCTCGCACAGAACCCTCCGCGATCAGATGGGCCGCCAGATCTTCCAGAGACGGAGCACCCATGACACGACCGGCACTCGTAGTGCTCCGAGAGCAGGTGTCCTCCATGATATGCTTCACAACCTCGTGCACGCCCGCCTCGCCCTGCACGCCATACTTGCCACGCCGATCGCGCCGGCGCGGTCCAGCGCGCGCCACGGGCACCCGAACACCCTCGCCCCGCCGTCCCGCAGGCGCGCCGGCGACCAGCCGTGCCGCTTCGCGAGCTGCTTTCTGATCTGCTCTTGTTGAAAGTGATGTCGGTCACGACCTCGCACGAGAGCGACGGGTCCGAGGCGCCTTGCCCTTTTCCCACATCGCGAGCCGCCACGTCGCGAATTGGTTCGCCACCTCCCGGGTGTTGGGCCAGGATCGCCAGATGCGGGATGGAGTCTTCGGGGAACAGCTGCGCAAGCTGTGTCCGCCGGGAGTGGAGATCGAAGGCGCCCTGGATTGGTCCCGCGGACCCAGTCTGCGGAACGTGAATATCTCAAAGGAAAACATCGCCGGAATGATAACGCACATGTTCAGGAGGTTGGTTTGTACACCATCTGCAAGTAGTCGGCGAGAAAGTCCACGCTTTTCGGGGACATCATCCGATTTTGCCCGTTTGGAGGTGCCGGGACCACTGCAGCTCCAGACCTGTTGGTGATTAGAACCCTCGTCATAGCTTGGCCGTGCGTTACGCACGCTGCATGGAATGCCGAGAACTGCGGCCCGTCTTCGTATTTGCGTTTCAGTCCGGCGACCGCAGGATCAGGAGCGCTCCCGATCTACATAGGAATGCGTTAGAGCGGGAAGAGGCCTCGGGTAGAGACGTACACGTTGAGGGCGCAGCTCCGATCCGGATGGTCGATGAACTTGCCATGGGAATCAGTCGATGGGACTTCTTGAGGCGGCTCGGGCCAGCGACATTCTTCTGCCCATGGCCGTTTTCAACAGCGTATCTAGTCGCTCATCCGTCACAAAAGCAGAATCAGGGGCAAAGTCAACAATGAAGTACATGGGACGCGCTTCCGTGATGGCTTGTTCATCAAATGCGACGACTGAATATTTCTGACGCACATCCCCGTTATTGTCAAAAACAAAGGAGCGGGGCTACAATAAATCAGATCCGATTCGAGAGCCGGAATAAATAAAATCAGACGCACCGCAAAGCATTGCCCGGTGCTGTTGTTCCACATCCCACCAAATCCCCCGCCTCGCTTGCCGGCTCGCCAACATCAGTTGGCGACAGAGCCGTCTCGTACACTTCTTGTCGATTATCTTGGAATGCGGGGACGACCCGTGGACGACTGCATTGCCCAGCTGAGGACCGCGCCACCCGCGGCCTCGGGTGGGCCCAAACTCCAGTACCACTATCCCACAAGTTCTCCTGCAAGGTAGAGCCATCGTCGGTAGTTGCAGCTTGGTCGAAGACTTGGTTCTCCTCGAAGTTTGGATTCGGATTCGCCTCCTCGCGATAGTGGACGACATCGCCCTGCCGGTGCCGCAGCCCGCCCCCATCTCAGCAGCCAGTCCTCAAACACGACGCGAGGCGCCACGTTTTCCTGCCCGACGTCCGCCTCCCCAGGCTGCGCCCACGGACATCCTTCCCCGCCGCAGACTCGCCGCCCTCGAAGCCTCCGTCTCCGTTTCGGTTTTGCGCAAGAGGCTGCTCACCATCAACAGCGAACATCATGTTCAGGTCCAGCTCCGACAGCTGCTCCCAATAAGCGAGTGGGTTAGCGTCTGCAGGGCTCCCGCTCCCGGCCTCCTGCCAGCCGCCATAAAAGAGGGTGTTGGTGCTGGTGTTGGTGTCGCTCGCCGGTTGCCCGTGCTTGGATGGGACCGAGGGCCCGGCCTGCGAGGGGTCCACTGCGCGCGCGCTCGCCGCCGGGTCGGGCGGGAACTCCGCCTCCGTCAACGCGAAAAGGTAGTCCCATGCCGCGGCGCGTCGTTCAAGGAACGTGAAATGCTCCTCCACCACGGGCAGGTACTCTGCATAATCGTTAGCCTCAGTAGATCCATCTATCCGAATCCGAAAGTCTACTCACCAACGGAACCTCCAAATCAGCCGCCCCTCCCGCATCGAATCCGGCGAGCTCATCGAGAGGCAGTGTGTGTGGGTGTGTAGGAGAATTATCCATGAGTGTGTCGCTTCGGACGATTCACAGCAGTAGAAGAACGCGTATGAGCTAGGCCCAAGCATAGCAGCGCGATCTAAATGGGGTCACGGGACACAACAATGATGTGGTCACGTGATGGTTCATGATGCGTTACCGTGACAGATCGTGTGACGAATGCTTATCGATAGTCTTCGATTAGATCCTGAGGCGCCATCTGAGACACAGAAGACTCGGAGAAATGCAGAGCAGTGGACAGGTGGGTTGTCAATGGGTGGCGCGGTCCTTCCGAGCACAGATATTCGAGACACTAGAAAGAGCAGAAACGCCGTGATACGTGCGATGCATGAGCTCTGTTGCTGAGTGCACTGGGTGGCGGGACACAGCCAAGCTGTATGTAGTAGAGCAGCAAACCGTACTGGACAGCGATTCCGATCCGATGGATGGCCAAGGCGGGCTCGTCTGGTACAGCTTTGAAGGACTGGCCGGGAGAGCTTGGAGCCCAGGTCAAGGGCTGACGGCTTTGACACTTCTCTAGGCGCTGCCGGCTGCTAATCTTCTTCGACGGGCGGACTTGAGAGAGCCCCCCTCTTCAGGGTCATTCACCAGCAGCAAGAAAAAGTCGATGATTGAGGGAAAGTATGGTACATTCGAGGAGACACAGCACAACAAGAAACCACGCACAAGGACAAAAGAAACAGCAGCACAAGAATCGCCATCCATAACTTACACACGCAGCGAAACAACAAGAGGCATATCATCGCATCATCATGAGCTCTGGGACTTGATGAACTCGAGCGCGAGCTTGGGGCTGCAGGCACAGTGTGTGGGTTCGTAATATGCAGGCGGCCAACGAATCGCGCACCTGTCCGCGGGCTTCACCGGCATCTTCTTCTCCAACAGCTTCCCGCCCTTGCCGAACACGAAGTGGCTCCGCTTGGTCTTCCCGCCGTCGCCGGCGCCAAGCGCCGTTATGAGCACGCGCTTCGGGTCGGAGAGCAGCGGATACGGGAGCTCTTTCTGTTGACGAAAGTGCGCGGCCGTCAGAATCAAGCAGAGGCCCGCCCAAGGCATTCCCAGAGACGGACGGACCTTCGTCTGCCATTTGCTCTGGGCGGCGGGCTTGTCCGCGCTCAGGCAGTACACGCCATAGTTCAGACCCGTGAAGTCGGGGTATGCGTCCCGAAACCCGCACGCCTGTGTCGTGCACCCCGCTGGGGGATGAGTAAGCTCGAGCGTTCAGCTCGCTATGAAGCTCCCCACATACGAGTATCAGCTTTTGGGACGAGGAATAGCACGAGGCCCTGGTCGGCTGTGAGCGTGGCCACGTCGAGATCCTCGTCTTTCTCGTTCTTGAGCGTGATTGACGGCAGCGAGTCACCGATGTCGATTGCTGCGAGCTCCTTTTCGGTCTTGTCATTCTGGGCTGCAGGCTTCTCGTCAGCTGCTGCTGCTGCTGCTTCAGGCTCTTCAGCTTCTGCTGCAGGCTTTTCGGCTTCTGCGGCAGCCGGCTCGTCCTCTGCGCCCTTCTCTTCAGCTCAGCCTCGAGTTTCTCCTTCTCATCCCCCTCCTGCATTGGCTCCTTCTCCATCTCCGATTTCTCCTCAACTGCCTTGGCCTGAAAAATACCCAATTAAACACACCAAAAACAAAAGTCGTGAAAAAAGGCACCTTTTTCGTATTCTTTGCAGGCTTATCGTCCCATCTCCGCCCGCCTTCCGCTTGCGGCTCGCGGACTTGGCAGCCTTCTCGTCCGCAGCGCTCTGGCTCTCCGTGCTCGCCTTCACCGTCGACGACCGCCCGAGCGCCGCGGCGCCTCGTCGCCGGACGAAGCGGTGTTTTGCGTGGGGCCATTATCGATGATGGGGGCAGGAAACAAGCGCGGGTTACCTGTACAGTAAGGAACGTCAAATTTGAAACAGATGCATAGATAACAGCGAGGGTAGGTGTGTATTCAAGGTATGTAATGTAGGTACAACTATGTACGTATAATGCACGACGACGAAGAAACTATAATTCCGGTGAGTAGTAATAGAAATCCGTCCCTGCGCTCATCGGCTGTCAAGCGCAGACGAAGATGTCCTTCGAGAAAGATACGGGCGCGGCGAGCCGGGCACGACAGGGCTCCCTGGCTGCTCTGGGATCTGGCCGGCACCTGGCAATGGTGCAAACGACGATGATGTCGGCGATATCAGGCTCATCAGCGAGGCACTCGACGACCGCCGAGTGACGTAAGGTCGCGGGACCGATTTCTCGACGACAGGCGAGACCGGCTCCGGGGGAGGAGGGCTCTCCGGGGCTGCAATCTCCATCCCGTATTCATCTGTCAACGGTCGTGGGGGAGGTCGCTCGACCATAGCTTCCAAGAGCTGTATATCTCGCATCAGCTTATTGCAACAGTAAAAGTTGAAGCACAAACCTCCTTCTTGAGATCCTCCCCGGCGTATTCCCCGTCCATCTCCTCCGGTCCAAGCAAAATAGTTCCTTTGCGGAAAACCTCGCCCTCCTCCTCGACCCAGCTCTTCGATCGGCTGCAAGTGGATTCAATCGTTGGAAGTAACTTGCAGTGATAACATCGTCCCAACTTACCTGGTCGTCGGCGAACCTGGCTCGGATTCCTCCACATGCAACGGACCTTCGCTGTCAACATCTTCGTCGCCTTGACCCATAAGCAGCTTAGTCGGGCTGAGAACCTTCTCCGGTTCTTCCGGCTCCGGAACAGCGCGCGCCTTTCCTTTGTCGATCCGAGGTGTCGACGGCGGTTCATCCGCTGTCGGGGCAACGCCATTCGCTGTCGGCAGCGGCTCGCCATTGGTCGATTTCAATCCAAGGCCTTGCAGGGTCAATGTCGGACGCGCAATCGCATTCGTTGGCAAACGGTGATGAGAGCCGTCAGCGTGTCATTGGCGTCCAGTAACTCTTCCATGCGCGCTGGGTCGTCCGTAGCTTCGATCACGGCGCTCAACTCATGGGTGAGCGCACGAGCTCGTTTCAGCACATCTGCGGGAGATGCCGCCGGGTTCTCCGTAGGTTGTTGCTGGAGAAAGCATCACTTGGAGTTGAGCCGCGCAAGCATTAGCACGAGCGACAACATCTCCTTCGTGCTAAGAAGAGCGAAATTACTCCACATAGACAGACATAAGAGAAGCGGAAGCACACACCTTCCTCTCCTCCCCTCCCTAATCCCTTTGGCGAGAGCACTCTCCTCTATGAGGCCCCACACACCTTTCCCATAACCTCTACCATCTGGGTTTGCAGAGGTCGGTGTCGACAAGCCTTCCGCTTCACGGGTGGCAGCAGCCCGTTTCTCCGCATCCTCCGTGTTGCGGACACAAACATTGAGGATGTCCCGGCACATCCGAGCACATGCTTCATCACCAGGGGGGATATTCAGATCCAGACAGCGCATGACAAAGTTGGCCTCCAAGCCTTTCGACAGCGCGAGCACCCCGGCGATGTCAAGCGCATTCTCGGTCAGATCAAGATGCAGCAGAGATGCACTCTCCGGCAGAAACTCGGCAAGTGCAATTGCACCTGGCGATGTCAGCCCCGTCGAGCTCAAAATAGCCTTTTCAGGGCCGTGTTCAGGGTGAATGCTGTGCGCAAAGATTGGATCTGGCGTCAAATGAGGTCAACGATTCCAAAGTGAATAGGATGCCGTACCCCTTCTAGTCCGGGTCCAGAACAGGGGTTCTTGGACAGATCTAGTGTCTCTACTCGAATTATATTTCTGCGGCGAACTGATCAGAGCGGAGTTCAGGAGCAAAAGACGAACCGCACGCACCAGCGCCTCTGCCAAACTAACCAGGCACGCCACGTCAAGTTTGTTTTCGGCAAGATTCAGAACTTTCAGAGTCCTGTTCCGCTTGAGAACTTGGGCGAGATATGTTATCCCTGTCTAGAATAGGATGAGATGGGTAACATCGGATGCGGCACGAGAAGCACACCCTCAAATCATTGCCCCTCAGATCCAACGTCCGCAAAGCTCCCACTCGAGGCAGCGCGTCCAGGGCCCGTACTTTGTCAAGCAGAGCAGCACTCGGTCCGTCTCTCTGCTGCTCTTTGAGCTCCCGTTCCCGTTCAGCCTGTGCACCCAAGCCAAGTCCGGAGTCACTGAAACAGACGGGACATGCCGGGCAACAACGCCACCCGATACGCTGCTGGCAACGACGGGCCTGCCAGCAGGGACCGCAGACGCGGTCTGCCTTCGCCTTGGCACATAGGGCGTATAGGTCGTCTGGGCTGCGGTGATCGTCTGCGCCGGGTGTCGCGGCGGCGGGAGCTTCCCGGCCATGGTGGGCGAGGTAGGGAGAGGTGGGTGCGTGGATGTCGGAGAGGATGCGGCACTGCTGCTGTTGCTGCCCGTGCCGTTTTCATGCTGCAGATGCGATATCGTGGGGGACGCATTCGACGAGAGCACATCCGGGTAGTCTCTGATCATCAAAGCCAGAGCCACTCCACCGGCAGGCGAGATCTTGTTGTGCCGGAGTGATATGTTCCGCAGATTGGACGTGCGAACGGCTCGACCTGGAGGATGTCCATGAGTAAAAAGCGGAGAGACGGACTGCCCACGCACAGAGAGCCTCCAAAGCACCAGCCCGCAGCGCACAGTCATCCAGTTTGAGAGAGATCAGGCCACATGCCCACTCTTTCGCTGTTCACGATCTTTCTCCATCTCTCGTAACTTGGAATCGTCCAAGCCATAGCCAAGCCCATAGCGCGGTTCCTCAGCAATTTGATAGAAGTAACTACTTTCCCTTCGAGGCTCTTCGTCATTGAGCGAAAGAATCGATGGCGTTCTAGAGGTGCTCGTTGATAGCGTAGGATGGGCGACATATTCCGGCAGCGCAACGGCGAGACACTCGACAGCTTTCTTGTCCAGAGGGTTCTGAGAGAGGTCGAGGAATGTCAGGGTGTGAGCCTGGATGCAGAACGAAATCGGTCAGCAAAAGAAGATAGCAGAACCGGTAGCGGAAAGTGGAAGAAGAGTACGAAATGTACGCAATGGCATAGTCTTAGCCCACTTTGGCTCCACTGCTGATAAGATAAGCTCGCTCGCGTGACCATCGGCGGTCCTCTGACCGGAGCGGACCAAGGCACATCTGAGGGTCGCGCAGTGAAAGGTATTGAGACTTCCGAAAACGGATCCCCATAGAGAGAGAAGCGACGATGGATACAACGTGCTCACCTTCGCAACGTAAGCCCCGAGAAGTTTCCACGCGTTGTTTTGAGACGCCTGTTGCTGGCCAGACTGAGATAGGCAAGGGAGCGTGGAATGAGCAAAGCGTGCAAAATCGGTTTGAGAGTCTGTGTGAAGCATCAGCACGGTGTTGTTCTTCGGAGGCGCAGTGCGGGGCGTGAGAACAGCACAGGGGCATTGGACAGATATTTGGACGAGACTGGAATCCAAACGACATACCAGATCGTCAAGATCGCACTCTCGGAAGACAAGCTTGCGCAGTCCCCATTCGATTTTGAGCACTTCGGACAATATGGAGGCACTCGTGAACGTTAGCTGGGCACCGGACAAGTCGACAGTGCGTGGATGGGCAGGGGAGGCGCTCTGCGTGTCGTCAGTCTCGAGCCGGAAGCTCCAATATCACAAGCACATACCTTCAAAGCGGCGGTGATGCCGGGGTCCGGTGTCTCTTGACAACCTTCGCAGCACTCCCGGTAAAAGCTCTCGACCTTCTCCAAAGGCCACCACTCCTCTTCTGTCCCGCTGCCTGACGTAGAGACAGTGACTGTACTGGCCGAATCTGAGGTGACGCTTGACGTCAGACTATTCGAGCGCACGACTCGCCGCCTCCGCTCTCGTTCCCGTTCCTCTATAGCGCGCTTCTCATCCCTCAATGCCGGAGTCGAAGGCGGTGCGATGCTTGATATCGGGTATACGACCGCAATTTCAGGGAGGATGAAATGGGCCCGTCTGAGCACTCTCGTCGAGTCTTCTTTTCCGCCGCCGGCGCCCCCAGCGCCCCCAGACCCAGCTCCGCCCCGCTCTCTCCAGGAAGGAATCGGCTGATGCTGAGCCGCGAGAATAGAGATGACGACTGCGCGGGTGGCGGTTTCTTGAGAATCGACTTGCCCGGAATGGGTATCCGAACCGCGGACGAGGAGGGCGATGGGGAGGGGGACGGCCCGAGCGATGGCGAGTGTAAAGACATTACTCACACTTGGCACATGCGCACGTTGCGCCGAAATTCGTGACGGGTATGAGGGGATCCTTTGGGAGAGGATTTGAAATTGTTTGTCACCCCCGCTGATGGTGGTGATGCGTAACATTGATGCTAAGAGGGGCGGTGGTTAACTTGTTGCCACTATCGGTGCGTGCCATGTAGTTTGCCTCGAAGGCTGCATATACTTGGGCTCATCCTCATCTCACGATCAGTTATGTGTGTATCCAACCTTCCATGGATCTAAGCAGCTGTCAAGACACCTGGGATCAAATCTGTGAGGCCTATGTGCCTGTCCCTACATACTGCCTGCTCCGAGGAGTGGAGTCCACGGTTGCGCTATATTCATAGACCTCAGCAATCATTGCTATCCATCCATGCCGGACGCTCAGCAGCCGAATAAACCATTGAATACGATGGCCTTCTCGCGTACATAACATCCCACCACAGAAATGACTTATACTTTTTAGCCATCGCCATCGTTTAAATGGCACTCAGCTCTCCGCGGCAGAGCACTTCACCCCCATGCCTTCGCTCTCCTCAACCTCCTTGTTTTCGTGCCTGCTCCTGCTGTCGTGTATCCTGCAAGTCCATGGCGAATGGACGCTACATCGCAGCGACCTCGGGTGCAGATTCAGTCTGGCTGCATGGAACATGACGGAGCAATACACGAACACGACTATGATGCCTCTCGTACTGGCGAACAATGGTATGCGGTCAGCGCTGTCGTCTGTCGTCTGCACGATCTCACCTCTCGGACACAGCACCCTTCGATGGCCCAAGCTATGAGATTACCTCTGTGCGTCAACATATCAACGACCGCGTGTAGTGCTAACGAATGCAATTCTTGCAGACCTTCGCGTCGTATCCCGTCAACGTTTATCCAACTCTTTCCCTCGTCAACGGTTCTTTGCGAGCCTACCGTGCTTCCGGTGCCTGGCTCACGAACGCCACTGCCGTACAGAACGGGGACCTCCTCACCTGGTACACCAGCCCGCTGTTCAATCACGATGCGGCCAGGATCTACTCTGTCGTACAATCGCCGGTCGGCATGTCTCTCTCAGCTTACGGCGAAGCGGGTTTGTGGTTCCTTTGCTCCATCCAGTCAAAGTCCACGCCGCCGATGATGAGTGTCGTATTCAATCTGACGCGCGATTCGCATGTCGACGTGGTGGATCCTGATGCATGCTGGAGTACGCGAATCACTCTGGTTCCTGTGGCTGGTTCTGGTGCGTTCTCCGATACTTTTCCTTGTGCTATATTCTCATATACTTGTCTTTCAGCTTGCTGAGCGACCCGAATGCGAAACATTTTCTCCTTGTAGTACACTCTGTGTCTGTGTCATGCGTTATACGATTCATCTTATCTTTGGTCTCTGTTATTCCTGGAGATGCTTGACGCACAACAGCAGATGTTCACCCTTGAATGCCGTCATAGAGTCTGTTGGGGGAAAATCGTACCCTGGATGTCATATGATGGACTGTGGCATGTGGGAGAATCTTCATGGTTGCCCAACCGTACGGCATCCGCCGAAGATTTTGCTGTCGGCACTGAACGGCAGTGAATGTTCGTGACGACCCTGTCTCAATCTTGGATGTTCTCCGGCGCAAACCTATCACCAGCGTGCAACATGCAAGATTGACACGGTCTTTTCGAGGGACCTCATGGCTGCGATGAAAGTGACTACCTAGCAACAACCGCACGCACCCACGAACTCCGATCAGGTCAGCACGACGAGGCGTCTCATGGTGTGGCGTCTTTGGACGCATGACGAGCATGCGAGTCACTTGGCGCGTTGGGCTCCACCACTGTCCGAGCGTCGGCCATTTTCGTAAGAAACTGGAGGCTTGCATCATCACCTGTTCGCAGGGAACAACGCGCCCGACAGACAGCACGTATCTCTCTCCCGCTTGACAGCATATCTTATTCTCCTGCCAGGCGCACTGTGCGCGGGGGACATGAATCGATCTGTCGATGCAAATCTGTCCACTCCGGCAAAGGAGTGAGGACTCCCAGGCTGGCGGCTTCTGAATCATCACTTCTGCTCGATATCCACATCTTCTGTGTCGGCGCGTTGGATGGGGAAAGAGCAGTTCCCTGCGACAGCTGTACGGCTCCCCGCAACCCAACTTGGGGCTGCACATGCCGCATCTAAGAACGATCGATCTCCAGTCCACGGCGAGCGAAACCTTGTTCGACGAACACAGTGACTTGATGAGAAGAGCCCGGACAGCAGAAGTTCAGTGAAGAAAACCAGGACTTGGCTTGCATGTGGGTAGAGCTGGCCAGTCTGTCGGATGATCAGTGAATATCAGAAGATGGAGTGGGCATCTGCAGTCCAGGCAAGATCTTCCGAGAGTAGAGAACGATGAATCGTGAACGAATCTTCATGGACGCATGGGGACTTGGGCCCTGAACAGCTCACAAACCCAAGGTGGAGGGGCAAAGTGAGCATTATGCCCTACATTATATCCCCGACACAGTTCCCACCGACCAGCAGAGCCGATGAAGAACGACTGTCAGATTCTGAGCACATCGCCCAGTGTCCCTCTCAGCCTCTTAAGAAGATCCATCACACGAAAAAACCAAGGGCGAATCATTCATCACATTCGAAGATCCCAGTCCCAATTTCCAAGCTCTCCTCATATGCCGCCAGCCGCACACGATGACTCCTCTCCTTCACTGCCATTCGCTCTTCCCTCTGCAAGACCTCAACTCTTCTCCGCCGCCTAACCTCCGGCGGAACGTCCGCAAACCAGCTCCTGCGCACGACCTCCACCGGCATCCCCGCATACGTGAACCGCGGCCGCAACCTCATCCTCCTCTCATCCTCGATCTGACACAACTCCTCGATCTGCGCCCACGTCGGGGCGAGCCGGACGAGATCGTGCGAGATGCTGCGCTCGTGCGCGATGGATTCGCGGCGGCGGCGGTCCCAGCGCGTGACGTCCCCGCCGCGATTGAAGCGGCGCAGATGCTCGCCCGCGCGGTGGTCTGAGCACTGGAAGAATGATCGGCGGAGGGCCGGCGAGCGGCCAGGAGGCGCCGGCAGCTGCGCGAACTGGACGTGGGGGCGCTGCGTGCCACGTAGGAACTCCGGGAGGCAGAGAATTAAACGACGCATGAGAGGCGGTATCGGAAGGGAACGGGTTTCAGCGCGAGAGTCCAAGATGGGCGGGAGGCCAAGCTCGTGTGCCCGTCTCGTCAGATGCAACTCCCCGTCGAGAATCTCTGGAGAAGGCCCGAGGACCGTGATAACATATGGAAGCGAATCGGCCTGTCCCTTAAGCGCAGGTGGAATAGGTTCCACCCCATCCGGCCCGAAGTATGGCGGATCTTCAAACTCGAAGAGAACGCTGTAAGACAGATGTAGGAAGTCGGAGATGGTGGTCCACAGCGACGTCGTTTCCGAGCGTATGGGCAGGCCCAGACCTAGCCCGAGGCGATCTCCGTTCTGGGAACCGATAGAGTCCTGGCAACAACCATCAGAGCGGATAACCAGAATACAGCAAACCATGCATACTCTCCCCTCGTTTCCAACATCAGCACTACCGATTTCCGTCCGCTGGGCCAAGAGGGAGAGAACTTCTTCCAAGCAAGCGGATGTCGTGAGGGGAAACCGCAGATCGACACCCGACGCCAACGGCGGATGACCTGCATCCGAGACAGCGCAGAAAGTCCCTGGACTTGGAGACAACCGATTCAGCTGAGCCGAAGAGGCTGGTGTTGATAGCGACACAAGTCCAGAAGCAAGGGAGGTAGACGATGACAAGGAGACGGAGAGCATGACGGAGAGAGACAGGATGCGGGTCTAAGGATAGGAGCATCCGCGGGACAATTGAGGCGTGGATCCGCGTTTGTGATCGGGATACGCCGGAGCAGAGGGGACAGGGTTCGCAGACGGTAGTCCCTAGAGAATTTGCACATTGGCTAGGCTGGCGATGAACAAATGAGCAAGTTTGCGCGACGGATCGCAAGTGGCTTACTGAGAGTGGAACTCTCACAGGCCCTCTTTCATCCTCCGGCGTCACTGTAACCTCATCTGTAGGATCTAGATACCCAGGAGTCGCGCCGACTTTCGTCGGGCGGACGAAAAACGTAACGTTCGCAAAGCCATCGCAGCGGTCATGGTGGTGTGGAGTAAGGTGCAAAGTGTATCGGCGCCTTCGGCCGACGTCTTTTTCTTTGACTTGCTTTCAGTCCTGCTTCAAAATGCCTCTACTGGAGGGCAGAGCGTATTCTGAACATCTATCAGGCAGCCCTAGCACTCTGGCATCCCTTCTGGCTCCTCGAGGCTCTTATAAAAGATGGCCGCAGCATGGGACCCCATTTTCAATCGAACAGTATCTTAGATGGGCGCAGGCGAAGAGATTGCTTGAACTCGACTGGCTTGTTCCGCTAGTCCTTCGGTGCTCTCGTATACATATCCCTCCTTTCGGTACTGTCGATTGGCGCAACAGTGGTCCGACCTCACGCTGAATCCATAGACGCTCACGGACGGACCATTTGTCTCGTGAACGAGGAGATCTTTCATGTCTGTTTCACTCATCTTACTTTCACTCGAAAACCCTTCGGAAAATTCGACGAAAACTCTGCAAGATCGATAAATCTCTCGCCCCAAATCGACATCTGATACTTATGCCGTTCACACATCCTCATTGGCAAGCGCTTGGCATGTTCGTGTCTGTCAACTTAGGCCGATTTGAGCAAGCTCTGCAACTAGAATTCAAAAGACGATACGGCTTAAACGCAGTTGCGCGCTAGAAGCCACAAGTCGTATTTCAAGAGCGGAATCTCTGCACGTGGCAAGATTGTGCGCCAGATTTGATGGGTTGATCGGATCATCAGTCAGACCCAGATGGCCAGAAACAGTGAACAATGGAAAAGGAGACCGGTTCGGGGTCACGTGAAAAGGAGGCGCTGCTCTGTTGATTGGGGTCCAACGCTGCTTGTACTCAATCCCTCACGACTCCCATTCACAACATCTCCCCCGAGCACACAAAATAATTGTCAATGGCCAACACTCGTCAATCCGTCGCGGATATCCTGCACGACATCGCCGATGCGATTCAGAATCCCTCGGCGCCTGAGCTTGGTGAGCTGCTACTA